AGTTAAGTCAAGTTACAACCCATAATTATGACAAACTATTTGGTTTTGAAAAGTGAAAACCAACTAACCTGCAGATGATACAGTTGCCGAGGTGAGCCTTGCAGAAACTCCAGTAATGCCTGTTGATTTTTCATTGCTACCTCCAGTCCCCCCGCCACCACCACCTGTGGCTATTGATCGTCTCCAATGCCCTCCAGCGTAGCCAGTAGTGGCCTCAGAAACAGGCATCGTTGTTGTGCCTCCGGCATCAATACTTGATCTTTGACGTGGCGTGTTTGTGTAGGCTGTGTGAAGAAGTACAGTAGCCGGGGTAATAGCTGCGGTTGAAGTGGCGGTGGAGGCACCAGTAGTGGAGGAGGTGCCCCTAGCTGAATTTCGACTAGTTGTGGTAACCACCTCTGTAGTGCTCGTGTCTTCCCTATCTCCGGCTTCAGAAGAAACTCCAGACCCCCTCATACCTGTGGTTCCAATCACGAAGCTTTTGACACCAAAGCCAGGGCGTCCAGCAGGACGGTCAGAGGCCCGGCCAATATCTGTACGTTGGAAAGGTCTGTGAATGGATTCCGACGTGGATTCAGGAGTTGAATTGACAGCTAAAAGGAGAGAATCAAGGATATAAAATAGAGCACTAGTGTTTGATATAACTAAAAAAGCTCTTCTGAAATCCGAATATGCAGAAAGTATGATAGTAGGTTATTTCAAGTTCAAAATAGAAAAGCAGAGACTTTCAATGATGAGAGCTTACTATTTACTTAAAATTATGAAGCATTATAAGAGGCCAAATCGATCAAAGTTGAATGCAAAGAACATATATAAAAGATGGCCCTTCAAAATCATTGTAGTTTGAAGTCAACTACCGAATCGATTAATAATATCCACGAAAATAAGTCTAGAGCAAAAAGTTGCGAAGTGGCTTGATCAAAAAAAGAAATGAATCCTTTTTTTACGAAAGAGAAAATAAATGCTCCAGAATTTAAGATAAAGCAACTACTTTTAGGTGTTATTCATACGAGTAATTTCTGATGTCGTTGAAGAGACTGACAACAAAATGGGCGATGTACAATGTAATATAATGTCAATTCGAGATGAATCATTGGAATGAAGAGCGATTTTTTTCTTAGACAAAGGAATGGGCAAAACATTGCTAGTTAATACATCACCAAAGCTTGTCTCATTATAACCCAGAAATAAAGTGTAAAACTGAGCGAGTTGAAACGTGGTCCAATCAAATCTAACCGAATCAACTGGTCAGGCCAATACCGACCTGGAAAAAAGACTATACCTAATCCAATAAAACATCGATTCCCATGCCCTCTCCAATAATCGCCAGCACACAAAGGCCACTTATAAATGCACATGTAGCCATATATATATATGTTTGTGTGTATGTATGTATATATATCCTAGATAAGGCCAGCAGCTACTTGCTGTAAAGGTTTATACACATCTTCTGGCAAGCGGGCTAGCTATATAGTACTAGTTAGCCCTAACAGGAGGAAATTCCGATCATTACTAGTCACCTTATCGGCCCTTGTAGAGCCTGCAGTACCTTATCATTTATCAATATATACTAATAAAGACTGCGGATAATCATACTTTAGTTAGATGCGATCTTGTGAAATATCAAACTGTGTCTCTCTTCGGAGATGAATTCTAGTAATTTCTAGTGACTAGGTGTCTAGTCCTTAATATTCTTTAATCCATCGCCTTACTACTTTCAGTTAATAAAACTATAAATGAAGCCATAATATATATTCAGGCCGATAGATTTACTTGAAACTATAAAATTAAATAAGATACACTTAAATGCAGCTCGACAAACATGGTAAAAATGGGGAAACTAAAAAGGTCGATGTAACATATCACTATCAAAAATAAAAAGCTTAGGATTCTTAAATAGTTTATAAAGGCAAATGCCGATAAAATGAGTTTCTGGGATGCTGTTGCTGCTGCTGTTACCAGAGGCTAGCATCGATACAACTGCTGTTTAATTATAAACAAATGTCATTAACTATAGATGAAAATTGGCCAAGAAAGGGGGTCATATTAAAATTAAAAAAAATAACTAGGTCTTGACTAATCGTAATAGAGAATATCATTGAGGAAGAAAGAAAAAGAAAAATACTCGAACCAGGCCTAATACAAAGTTCGGAGTAGATTTAAGACATGAGTCATGAGAGCTAGCTGGTAACATAAAAAGAGCCTGTGACAGTAAAGAGCCATTTGGACAAGTTGGGGTAGTTGACACAGGAGGGTGAGATAAGCAAGCAAGAGAGAAACTACGGTATCAATAAAGAGCGAAGTAAGAGGAATAAAAACAACTTCATAGGCTCTACAAGCGCTTAAAAGAAACGCGGACAGGAAGAAAATCGCTTCATTTTTACATCTCTTGTTATCGCTCCTTCTTCCTCTATTCAGGAAATCCATGGACAGCATAAGACCAACTCTCCACGGCGAGAAGGATCGATTTGCAGATAGGCGACAGGTAAGATTTTACGTTAGCATAATTCGCGTATCGAGGAAAGAGAGAAAGACAGACCAGTGAGTTGTTTGTGTAAGTAGACAGCATTTACCTGGAGGTCTAGCAATATAAAGGTGGCTGGTAAGCGGCACGCTACAGACCTAGTGATAAATCAATGTCTTTGAGGAAGGGCACCACATGAAAATTGACCAGCAAGAGCTGGAAGGATACATATTGTCACGTCTTATCACTATCTGTTTCTTTCTTTGTGCTAACCCGATACCCTCTCTAAATTTCGACCCTTGTATTAGTGATTTACAAAACAAGGAAAGAGACGACTCAGGGCAGGGACAGTCAACAAATCTAAGAAAGTTTGAGAGAAGGAGATTGAAAGCCAATCGAAGTGTAGAATAATAGCAAGAATAATCATTAAAGAAGTAGTGAGAAGTTAAGGTCACCAATTGAAAGAGAGGATTCATGGTTAGCATATCAAAATGGGGCGACTATAAGATCAATTGGAATCAAAAAGAACTATAACGAAGAGTTTACGAATGCTTCAAACGATTCTCCCTCTTAGAGAATAGTTATTTAAAAAATGAAATAAAAAGAAATGGCATACCATTCCTAATAAGCAATAAAAAAGAAAATCTCATGAAAAATATGCATAAAAGCCTCAAAACTTTCTCAGTGATGCAATTATATCTGTGTACTTGGATTCGAATCCTGTAATGGATATGTATGAAGCCCAAATGAGGTCGAAATTGCAGTAAGACCTGAATAAAAATAAATGATTATAATACATTGAATAAGAACATTCAAATGAAAATTGAATCCTCTGCAACTAGTATTAAGCAGATGCGCCTTAGTGCAAAACCAATAACAGTTTATTGATCCCAATGTATAACTCTAATAATGAATATATCAAAAATAAATTCATATTAAAAAATTGAAGATAAAAGCTTGTTAAAAAAAGAATTAATAAGAAAGTCATTCAATAAGCGTGTGAAAAAGAAGCCCGATATATAGGGATTGAATGGTAGGGAGACTTAATTAACATCTAAAGCCATTAAACTATTGTACGTCAATTTTATAAAAATATTTCCTCAAAAGGCCAGTAGCATGTATTAAACAGTTATTTAATTTGAGAGCAACATACAGGAGCCCAAAGAATGCCATGATGAAGTATAAATAATAAAAGTCCTGAATATCTGTGTAAGGAAGTGGAGTCTGTCTTTTAAGTTTATAGAAAACAACATCAGCTCGGGAAAAAAAAAATATAAATCATATAATTCGGGTTTCATTTGACCTGAGAAAATAGAATATAAGTTATAAGCTTACGATAATAATAAAAATAATGCCAATTAATATAATTTACGAATGATCGACAAAGAATATGCTTACGATGGAGTATCAATAAAGATAGAATTTTGTACAGGTTTCGCATGTTCAATGTGTTCAATAAAAGCAATATTTATTCTGGGTATGCAATTTTTCGATGATACGTAGGTTTTTGAGACTACCAGTAGATCATAAATAAAAAATGTATTCATTCTATTTCGTTAAGGTGATCTCATACATATAATCTAGTGTTAGTCTCAAAAGCCTAATTATCAACGAAAGATAAATAATATATTCAATTGATATAGCAAATACAAATTTGCTTAATCGACAACCCCATCACAGAATGTCATATTGGAAAATATCTGGCCTTCCTTTAGATTCACATCTGCCCTGTGACACATGGGCACTCGTGGCAGTGAGGCATAATAGTTAATGTGTCTTTATTATAGGCTGCACTACCACGGTTCGAGTCCCTCTCAGGTGCTGATAAGACCTAGGCGAGATCGAAATTGTAGTCCATCTCGGATGACAATAGCTTTTGGAAAGCAAGGCTTTGCGAAATTCAATAGAAGCATCAGGCCTACTGATAGCATTGTAAAAAAATTCAATTACCAACCCTTTATTACCTTAGAGACAGAGTAAATACATCTCATCTATTGTGATTTGATATCTCGCATCCGAGAGAAACTTGAATAGCGGGTTTACTGGTTGAGGCCCAGAAATTCCTCTCTAGATTTTGATTCCTTGCCGTTAGGCATTAGTGATTCATTTTTTTAAAAAGCATAAAGTTGCAAAAGGTGAGATCTGAAAAGGATTGCTGAAAAATGTCCAAAGCATATAGCAAAAATGGAAGATAAGTAATGCAAATTGCTAGTAGATAGTGAAATATTCTTCGACAGTAAAGGGCCGCAAGAAGTTTAACCTTATGTGCTCACATACTAACAAACAATTTTGAAACTTATGGAGAAGGCAACAAAAATTGGGAAATCGACTAAGATTAGAAGACATCGAATGCACTAATAAAATAAGTAATACAATGTAAATTCAGGCGGTCAATATATGCCCGCCTACAATTGAAAGATTATAATAGATAGTATATTTTGTAAAAAAAAACCCGATGAAATTGTAAATGCAATCTCATAAAATAACCATTTCTAGTAATTAGAGTAGAATTGGTAATTATAAAGATGGGATAATCGGAATATTAGCATTACGTTCTAACTCAGGTGCTGAATAGACCAAATTTGAAATCAATTTCTGCGCATATTTGTCTGAGCCAGTTACAATCTCTGGCATTTTTATAAACAAGAGACCAAACGGCAAAGCTTGAAAAATTTACCAAGAAAGATCCACACAGTTAG